TCAGTTACTTGAAAATAAGGAAAAACGGTTCCAAGAGATCACCACATCTCTTTTCCAACAAAAGATGAAGAATTTGAGTTTGTGCTTCAGGAAGATGGTACTCTTGATGCATAGAATGATAGTCCCAGTCCCAGCAGAACCATTCTAATCCAGGATTTGAAATTAATTTTGTCTCTGACCTTGGCTGCCAGGTCAGACGTTGTGCCTGGTTTGCTCCTGGCTGTCCCCTGGCCCAGGTGGGGCAGTTTCCACCTGCATCACGTTGTGGTTCCCGATCTGAACCATGCGGGCGTGTTGGATGATGAGGGCTGGGGTCCCTCCAGGGCCTGGCGTGATGTTGTAGTGTCCTGGGGGGAGCTGTGCTTGGGAAGGGGGAGGACCCTGCTGAGCAGGGAGGTCCATGGGGGCAGGGAGACACCAGTGCTGGGCTGCTGGCTCTGGTGGCCACGGCTGTGGTGCTGCTGGAGGCACCCCGGGAGGGGAGCCCAGGCTCAGGGCAGCCAAGTTCTGCAGGGCTTGGTGCCGTTCCCAATGGGCCTGGAGCTTCCTTCTCTGCATCTGGTCCCACAGGGCTTTCTTCTCCCTGATCTTCTTGGGGTTAAAAGTCTTGTGCACATTCCTGGAGAAGAGCGGAGAGCTCTCGTTGAGGGTGACGAGCACGCTGAGCATCATGGGGATCCGGCTGCACTCCAGGGCGTTTGCTTTGGGTAGAAATGGGATGACTGAGTCTTGCTTGGAGGGGTCCAGAATGGACTGCATCAGAGCAGTGTCTGTCTGGAACAGACACAGGTTGCAGGGGAAGTTCTTGGTCAGCAGGAGGATCATGAAGGCAGAGTTTTCCATGGCCTCCTGGAAGCAAATCATGTGGCTGCGTCCAGCGATGAAGAAATCCTCACTGAGCGTGGCACCGTTGGACACCCCCATGCTCTCCAGCAGGTTCTTGACCCGGTGGGCCACAATCTCATCTTCACTGGCGTGCAGGACAACAAACGTGAAGAACTTGGCACCATCTGGCTCCGATGGATCCACAGTTGAGAGAGCAGGAGGCCAGGCTGGAGAGAGGGATGAGTGCAGGGGAGGGGTATGGAATAGGTTGGAGTGAGATTCCTGAAGAGGAGGAAGAGTTGAGGATACGGAATAAGTGGGAGGAGGAAGGGAACAGGTTGAAATAGAAGCAGATGCAGAGTTACAGGGAATGCCTGCTGGAATGCAGGAACCCTGTATGGACTCGTGGGCAGGAGCAGTATCCACTGCAGCCCTTGTGTCAGGGACACCAGTAGATAATCGCTTTTCATCCTGCTTTTCTCTTGGTGTGTGAGGCTCTGTCACTGTGCTGAACACATCACTGCTTTGGGCAGGCTCCGAGGGCAGCGGCGTCTCCGGAATGGGGAGAGGGGTGGGATGGCAGGGACTGACCTGCAGAGCCTCCTCTGGCTGGGGCCCTTGTGCAGCTGTGTCCTGCCCAGGGCGAGGGCTGGGTGTGCTGGGCCAGCTGGATTCCTGCGGGCCGTGGCTCTGTGCGTCCCTGTCACGGTGTCCAGCACGGCTGGACCAGGGGACACACTCGGGGACACAGGGCTGGGTGTGAAAAACACCTGTTGGTGATGCACTGATCTCCAAACAGCTGGACAGCGAGGAGCTCCCCACAGAGCACAAGGTCCGTGGCCCTGAAAGGTCTGAGTTGCCTCCAATCTGCAGTGGTGAACTCCTCGCCACGTGGTGGGAGCTGGCTGTGTGGGGAAATCCTGCGTCCTCATGGGACCTCAGCATCCAGAGCCTGTCCCCTGAGCCCCCACTGGCTGCAGAGCCCTGTTTGTCCTGTTCCTCGGCTGGGATGCTGTTGAGTGTCCCCCGCTGAGCAGCCTGGCAGGCTTTGTCCCTGGCCTCGGGACTGCACAGCTTTTCCTGTGCCAGCACCGCGTATGCCTGTGCCAGCAGTGCCACGGCACCTGCATCCAGATGGGGAGGCTGCAAATCCTCCCCGTCTTCCCGCACTCCTGCAGCGCCCAGTTTGATCTGGTGGATGTACTGGGCTGCCTGGGTATCCCTCAAGTCATCCAGACAAATTCTTGCATCCGTTTCTTGCCCCAGAGTAAGCAGGACCATAGCCTGCAGTAACTTGCTGCAGGGCCCAGGTGTGAAGCGCTTCAGTTTGAGTTTGAGGCTCAGCAGTTTCTCTGGTGGGGCCTGGGACAGAATATTGAACAGGTCCTTGAAGCTCGGCTGCAGCTCAGCGCTCTGTGCCATCTCAGCAGCTGCTGGCCCCGACCACAGACTGCAGCAGGGATGGGAAAAGCATCTTGTGGCAAAGGGTTGTGTCCCCATGGGGCTCGGGGTGCCCCGGTCGCGCTCCTCGTACCACACAAACCTCTGGTGCCAGGGGCTGGTCTGGGACCTGGGGCCTCTCTGTGCTGGGAATCTGTGAGGAGAGCAGAGGACAGCGTTCAGAGGGGTGATGTGGGTGCTCAGGGATGCTCCTGGAGCTGCCAGGCTCTCTCACACCTCCCAGATATTTCTGCATCTGTTCCGTGCTTGCAGCTGTGCCAGTACATTATTCCAACTCTGTGATTAAGCAAAGAACACATTATTTGCATTCATTTCACATTAATTACAACTGGCTTAAAATGATTGATGAAATAATGCTATATTTAGGTAAATCCAAGTGTCTCCTCCAGGCAGCTGGTTCCAGGGGTCTCACAGGCTCCTTGTGATAGCAGTCGAGGAATAAAACAGGTGTAGAGGAAACCCTTTCCAGCCAATAACCTGTGTCATCAGGGAAAATTCACAGGAAAGAATCCCTTCCCACTATCCCATCCATCCCTGCCCTCTGGCACTGGGAGCCATGCCCTGTGTCCTGTCCCTGCAGCCCTTGTCCCCAGTCCCTCTCCAGCTCTCCTGGAGCCCCCTCAGGCCCTGAAGGGGCTCTGAGCTCTCCCTGGAGCTTCTCCAGGTGAGCCCCCCAGCTCTCCCAGCCTGGCTCCAGAACAGAGGGGCTCTGGCTCTTGGAGCAGCTCCGTGGCCTCCTTTGGACTTGCTCCAGGTCCTTCTTTCATTGGAAGAGTTTATCTCCCCCTCCACAGGTGATCCCTGAGCCCCTGCACTCACCCCGGGCCTCTGATGGCATTTTAATTAAACATCGGGAGTGTCTGGAGGGGAGGAGCAGGTTCCTGGTGGGACCCTGCTCCCGGAGCTGCCTGAGCCTGCTGCAGAACCTTTCCCTATTTAAAGGCAGCCCCAGCAAACGCCCGGAAATAATTCTCAACTGGGGAAAGTTTCCAATTTCAGTTTTGTTTTCCTGTCTCATGAAAACCCTGCAATTGCCCAATTGCCCTCCCTCCCTGGGCCGGCCCTGCCCTCGGGGGCGATGCGGCCGAGCGGGAGGAGCTGGAGCGGGGGCAGCGCCCGGGACCCCCGGCAAGGGAAGGGAAGGGATCCGCCGGCAAGGGAAGGGAGGGGATCCGCCGGCAAGGGAAGGGAAGGGATCCGCCGGCAAGGGAAGGGAAGGGATCCGCCGGCAAGGGAAGGGAAGGGATCCGCCGGCAAGGGAAGGGAAGGGATCCGCCTTACCTGCGGCCGGGGCCCGGGGCACGCGGAAGCGGCGCTGGGCGGGGCGGGGCAGCAGAGCCCGGCCCGGGACCGGAGCAGGAGGGCCCGGGACCGGAGCAGGAGGGCCCGGGACCGGAGCAGGAGGGCCCGGGAGCGGGTAAGCCACCCCCCACCCTCCCCAGCCAGGGCCAGCCCTGCCCGCTGTCCCCCGCACGAGCAGCCGGAGGTGGCAGAGCGCTGGGGACAGGCAGGGACCGACCTTTCCGTGCGGGAAGTGTTGGAACAGGGACGAGCACTGCAAAGCCAGGATCCGGGGGCGCAGAGGGAGCTAGGGGTGTGGGGCGAAGAGTGGGGCGTGGACAGATGCACCTGAGCCTCAGGAGTACAGGCGAAGTCAGGAAAAAAAATAAAGGTATTTTTTTGCTTAAGAAATCATGGGACCTGCTAAAGGCACTTTGTTTTTCCCCTCCAGCAAGAGCAGGGAACAGACAAGATGGCCAGGGGATCTGTTAAAGGCAAGGCTTCATCACAGCTCAGGTAAGGGTAGAACACAACCCTGCAGCTTTAGATACACACAAACCCAACGTGGCTTTGAATGCAGGTCATGCTTTATTCCAGTGTCTGCTCACCAGCCCTGGCACAGGGACAATGCCAGGAACAGTTACCAAAATAAGCTAAATTAGAAATTATTACAAAGTAGTGTTTTCTAGGAAAGAACCATCACCTGGATTAAAATCCCCCCTATTTCAATAGCAGAATATCCTAATCCCATGGCAGAGTAACTCCTGGGAAAAGCTGCCTCATTTAATGGCTGTGAAGTGTTTCACACATGGAGTTACTCACAGATAATCCTTGAAGTCATTCACAGAACTAGGAAAGGTGATTAAAGAAAACCCCATGCTGCTGAGTGCTTCTCCATGAAAGAGAAAGTGTTTGGCTGATCCATGAAGGGAAGTCTCTTCTTGAGAAGGAACTCCTTGCCCACAGCTGTGCCAGATGTGCTGCAGGGCCGAGCCTCCCCGGAAGCACAACAGGCACAAAGGAAGTTGTACCTTTAAAAGTGGAGAAGGTGGGAGATGGTATCAAAGGTCAAGCAGAGCATCTTCTCAAGAGTTCCACAGCTTGGGTGAATTAAAAACAAATTCAGCATTAAAAATAAGTTGAGATCATGTCTCTCCCACAGTTTGTCTCAGCAAGATTTAGCCACTCACAGCTACAGCTGGGCTGAGTTAAAAAGCTGAAGTGCAGGTTCAATCTCCCCTTTCAGCACAGCAGTTGGATTAAAAAACAGTAAATCAAGATTCAGAATCTCCCCACCTTGGCTATCAAATCTCCTTACAACTACATCTGACTCTAAAATCAGAGCAGAGGCACTTGTGGCACAAGTGGGCACACAATTAGAAGATCCAGTGCTGTTCTAGCCAAGTAGCCTTGGCCAGAAGAGCTGGGGTTTATCAGAGATCTTCCTCTGGTGCAGTGGTTTTTATCTCCTTGGCAGCCAGGGCCACATCTGTGTCCTTCCCAGCCTTCTCCTCCAGCTTTTCTAGCACTTCATACCATTTTTCTGAGAGCCTGTTGGTTCCCTTTGGCTCTTCAGGTGCCTTTGTCACCTCCTGTGATAGTGGAGCCTTTTCCAGCCTGGGTAATTTTCTATCACTCCTCATCTCTTTCTTCTTGTGCTTTCTGCTGTCCTGTGCCACTTTAGCCACGGCCCTGAAGGGCCCCACAATCCAGTTCAGAGGGGTGTTGTGAGTGACATAGTCCAGGAGGACATCGAGGGACCTCTGGGCCTCTGCCACACGGTCCTGGCTCCGGGCCAGGGTGGCTCTGGAGAGGTCCTGGAAGGACACGGCCCTGGAAAAAGAGCTGTGGAGCTTGTGGATGTGTCGAGTGGCCTGAGACACAGCTTCCTGGATGCTGCTGGGGAGGCCGTGGATGCTGAGCCTGAGGCTCTCGTAGTTGGGCTGGAGCTGCTGGGTGATGATGCGCAGCATGGCCAGAGTGCGCGGCTCCACCTGCCGGGAGAGAACAGCTCAGTTACAGCCCGGGGAGCGCCCAGAGCGGGGCTGCTCTGCACCTTCCGGGGATACCTCTGGCTGGCAGGCAGTTCTGACTTGGTGTCCTTTGGGCTGGGTCAGGCTCCAGTCCACCCACAGCTGGTGGAGCTTCTCCTGTCCCTCCAGCAGCTTCTGGCCAACCTCCTGTTTCACAGATTGAATCTGATGGGAAAAATGAGAGGAAAGGTTGTACTGTGAGCACACACAGAGAGGCACGAGTGCTTCCCTGCCAGGGAAGGATCCAAGGTGACACTGAGCTGGTGCAGGACGGAGGAAGAGCTTCCAGCTGGAGAGCAGGGCAGGAAGGGCTACAGACAGGAGGAAGAAGGGCAAAGCGTGTTGGTACCAGTTTTATTGCCAGCTGCAGCCGTGAGAGGGTGTCCTGGGTGCGGTGCCTGAAGCCCTGCAGCTTGGCCAGGGAGAGCTGGTAGGCTCGGTGCCGGAGCCTGCCCGACAGCGAGCCCAGGCGCACAAAGTAACTCCGCTGCCTCTTCTGCTCCTCCACGGAGGCCATGCCAAACCCCTGCACCGTGGTGGCCAGTTTACCTGGAGGAAACAAGAACAGAGCTGCAGCTGGGCTCCACTGCCAGCTCAGAGGGGTGGAAGAGGTTGAGTCACCCATTGGAAAACACAAAGGCTGAAGCTTGCTGTTGGAGCAGGAGATTTGTAGTCATTCATGTGTTAAAGGCAGGTTAGTCCCTGCTCAATCTTCAGGTAAGCAGACTTGGAGGGCTTGAAGCGTGAACCCACGTGGTTATTTACTTTCAGGCTGATGGGCAAGGACCAGCCAGCAAATGCTTGAACTCTGTCCATACCATATGGCAATTTGGTGTTGACAGCCGGCAACTTGGTGATAAATTCAGAGCTACCTGTCTGCTTCAGAAGCTGAGCCTTGCTGTGTCAGGTGCTCTCTACTCAAGTGGGAAAGGACTTGTGTCTACAAGCGCCGGGTAAGTGTTTTCTTACCTAGTTCCTCCTCAGTCATCGGGAGGTAATGATCCACCAGATCTTCTGACATTCCCAGGACAGATTCCACACCTCCAGCCACTGCCTGGCTCACTGCCTTGGCTTTGCTTATGCTGCTGGTCACCACTGAGTTGGTCATCTCCACACCCCCCTGGAGAGCCTCCCTGCCCTGCTCCAGGGCTGTGTTGATCTTGCTGGTGATGGTGCCATAGGCAGCGTCCAGAGCTGTACTGACCGTAGAGGTGACCACAGATCTGGTCTTCTCAACGCTGTCTTGAACAGCCCCTTTGGTCAGGTCCACTGCTTCAGTCACCTTGTTGGCCACCAGGTCCTTGGCCCCCTGGGCAGCCTCCACAGCGCTGACAATCGTGGAAGTAACTGCAGACTTGGTCAGGTCAACACTGTCCTCCACCATGTGCTTGGTGACATCCACAGCCTCTGTCACCTTGTTGGTCACCAGCTCCTTGGCCCCCTGGGCAGCCTCCACAGCGCTGACAATCGTGGAAGTAACTGCAGACTTGGTCAGGTCAACACTGTCCTCCACCATGTGCTTGGTGACATCCACAGCCTCTGTCACCTTGTTGGTCCCCAGCTCCTTGGCCCCCTGGGCAGCCTCCACAGCGCTGACAATCGTGGAAGTAACCGCAGACTTGGTCAGGTCAACACTGTCCTCCACCATGTGCTTGGGGACATCCACAGCCTCTGTCACCTTGTTGGTCACCAGCTCCTTGGCCCCTTGAGCAGCCTCTACAGCATTGACAATCGTAGAGGCAACTGCAAACTTGGTCCTGTCAACGCTGTCCTCCACCATGTGCTTGGTGACATCCACAGCCTCTGTCACCTTGCTGGTCACCAGCTCCTTGGCCCCCTGAGCAGCCTCCACAGCGCTGCTGACAGTGGAGGTGACCACAGACCTGGTCAGCTTGACACTGTCCCCAACAACACTTCTAGTGAGGTCCACAGCTTCAGTGACTTTATCAGCCACCGCTTCCTTGGCCTCGCAGGCAGCGTCCATAGCAGATGTCACCTTGGTGGACACCAGCTGCTTGGTGTCTGAGATTACCTGCACCAGGGAGAGGCAGAGAGATATTTTTGTTGTTGTTCCAGAATGTGTTTTCCCTCCCTGAAAAAGCTTTTCCCGTCGGGTTAGCTGTGCCTGCAGTCTGTGGGAGGGCTGGGGAGGTGAGCACACCCGAACTGACATGGACATGGTCAGTGTTCCCTCCTGCATGCTGAGGGCACCTCTGTAGCTTTCCCTGCTGCTGAGCTTTATTCATTTCCACATATTCCTGTGTACTTATAACCAGGAAAAGCCTTTCCTTACCTTGTCTGCTGGCTGCTGCAGGAAGGGCAAGTTCTCCTCCAGCTGATCCAGACCTTTACAGGCATATTCATTCACAAGGGCAACTGGAAGAGACAACAGGAATAAACCAGTTTATTCTTACATTTGGGAATGGGTTTTTTCACCCTACAATAGCCAGTTCAGCATACACTCATGAAAACAAGCCCTCCTCAAATAAATCATCATTCTGGGGTGGGATGTCTTGATAAAAGTGAACAAACACTAAAATTTGGCAGGTTCAAGTAGTCTCCATTTTGCCTTCCCAGCTTTCTAACTAGACTTTGATCCAATTGCAGTGTAGCAGCTACCCTTGGTGGGTGGGGAATTTGGTTTAAAGGGTCAAAAAGTGTTGGGATAAGGCAGACTGAGCCCTATCCCAGACTGACACAGCTCCCACTTGGGACGGTCAGAACTTGGAGTGAGAGAGAGCAAGCAGGGAGTTACTACTTGGTAACAGAGAGAAATTAAACTTTGGTTCTCCTGGACACAGTTTCATTCCAGGGCAGTTCAGTGTCGGGGAGCTGCTGAGTGGAGGCTCAGGGATGGAGGAGAAGGTGCTGCTGGGGGTGGGATCCCCCTCTAGGCACATGAACCTCCCCTCCCTCTGTCCAAGGGTCCCCCCAGCCCTGCACTTACTCTGTGGCTCGAGCTGGCTCAGGATGGGCTGTGCCCCTCCGACCACGCTGCCCACAGCCACGGCAGCCACGGTCTCAGCCACGCTGCAGACGCCACTGAGGCAGGGGTGGGACTCCTTGGTCTGGTTGTAGGCAGAGGAGACCAGGTTGAAGGCAGAACTGAGCAAGGGCAGGCTGGTGACTCGATTGACAGCGCTCTAAACCCAAGAGAAATGGTGACATTAGAGCCCAGCCTGAGCTGGTGGGTGAACACAGCCGTGTGTCTGTCCAGAAAGGTCCCAGCAAATCCATCTCCCCATCCCTCTTCAACTCAGGGCTGAGGAGACTCATCCAAAGGCCTCCACCAAGTGAACAAGCCGGGGTTAAGAAGTCTGAACTTTGTGCTCATGAATTCTGAGTCACACTGGTTTCAGCACCAAACCAGATGTGGAAGTAGGACCTGTAATTGCTCCTGTTTCAGAACTACTTGCTTCACTTCACAGCCCTGAAGTTGTCTCCTGAGCAAAACAATTACCTTCTGAACTGAGGGGGTTTTGATTTGGCCACAGCTTCATAGGGCTCTTCCTGTCCCCCCAGCCTGGCTTTGGGGTGCTGGCAGAGGTTCACCAGCACCATGTCAGTGGGTGATTTAACTGCTGTGTGTGCCCTGGCACCTACCACACTCTGCTGCTCCTCAGCCTTCAGCAGCTCTGGGGTTGGGGTCTTTCCTGAGGCCATACTGACTTCAGCTGCAGCTGGAAGGAAAACAAGAATATCATGAGCACAACTTCATTGCCTCCAAAGAAATAAAATCCTGCCAAAACAGGGGAAAAGCAGAGGGCAACAAAGCTGGGATCTGACATTCAGCTGCTCCCAGGAAGGTTCAGGTTAGAAATGGGTGAGAACTGTTTTATCTGTCTCGTGTTTTCTCTGTGGGATGGGATGACCCTGGCTGCACACCAGGTACCCACCAAAACCACTCCATCACCCCCTCCTCAGCTGGAGAGGGGAGAGAAAATATAACAATATAACCAGTTTGTGAAGGACATGAAAAATCCTGTGGAGTTTTCACTGGAGGATGAGCCATGTTTCCCAGCTGCAGCATTCCATGGCTACCTGGAGACTTGTCTTCCCGTCCTACTGGCCAGCAAGGCAGGAAATCTCATTTCCTGTGGCACCAGGGCTCAGAGACATTCTCATGACATAATGGGACTGAAGAAGTGTACACTGTTGCAATAATCCAAATGGGTATTGGTTCCCCAGCACAGATCTCCTGTGGCATCCGGACACTCCTGTATTGCTGATAAACCCAGGATTACTCTGAGCCTTAGGCACAGCAGGGATTTCAGCACATTTGTTCTTCAGGACAGAGTCTGCTTTTCTCTCCTTTGCCAGTCAATTCCTGTTCTTAGATTTGCTATGACATTTTCCAGTGGAAAAAACTCAAACCAAGATTCTTCCCAAACTGCTCCAAGCTCACTGGCAGAGTCTTCCTGAAAGAACTCACCATCTTGAGTTGTGGTGGAGCCCATTGTATTGTTTGTTGTGTCCTTTGCTTTGTGCAAGGTTTTTATTTTGGTGAGAAACACGAACAGAGAGATGGAGAGTAGTGAAACCAGCATTTGTGAGCCCTGGACTGGGCTCTGACACTGGCCAGGGACATCTCAGGAGGTGACTTGGCAAAACACCAAATATTGCTGCCTTAACCACTGAATTAGTCAGAATTCAGTGAGATTTGAGCAGGGCAGGGATGCTGAGTGCCACATGCCTATAGCAAAAGCTGTCACACAGGTTGTCACCTCCAGTCTCTCCTGGGAGCTCATCTGGGAGCCCTCCCCAGTTTATCTGCACAGCAAAAACACCAAGGGATCCTCACCAGGCTGGGAGGAGTTGTAAAAACTGCTCCAAACAAAGCAAGGCTGAATATAAAATCCAAGTCCCAAAGTCCACGAGGTTTGCTGTCAGTGCTGTCCCTCTCCCTCAGGGCAGGTCTGTCTTTTCTTTGGAGCCAAGCAGGGCTGACTTAGGGGCAAAGCACAGCTCTTTCAACACAATCACAAACAACCCCTTTTGCTCAGCTATTTTACTCCTGGACAGGTGGAAAAAGCTCAAACTGTGGAGTTTGACACTGTTGGCCTTGGTGTCAGGGCCAGCACTGAGACACTGCAGCAAAAGGAACAGAGGAGGATTCATGTTAGAATAATCCAGGAGTAACTCCTAGGCTGATTTAAAAACTGGTGTAAGGTTAGATCAGCCTCTGAAGTACAGGGATCCCATGTTAATTATGGCTGGGGCCTGCCAGGGACCATCCTTCAGCACACTCATGTTGGAACAAGGTTTGTTCTCCGCTGTGTAGGAGAAATCCATGTTTTGCAATGCCCAGATTTGTAGTGTGGGCAAATCTCCACAGCGTGGTTTTATTTTCTCTTTCCCTTGCAGAAGTGCTGAGCAGCCCTTGCTTTACTTCAGAGATTGCAGGAAAGCCCAGTGCTTGGCAGCTCTGGGTCAGGTGGTTCTGAATCCTTTGGAGAAGCCACAGCCAAGCCAGGATGGTTGGGAGTGGAAATCCCAGTGGGAAGAGGAACAGAAACAGCACCACTTTGTTTTGGTTGTGGTTTGTTGTATGAAAGTGATGATCAGATGATTCCACACCATTGCTAAATGTGAAATATTAGGTCACTGCTGGAGAAAGCTCTTGAGACAGATGGTTTCAGAACAATGAAACTTCAGTGCTCTTTTCTAGCATCAAGGCCAAGAGATTTTCTGGGATCAGGAGCTGAACTCCTGGTCATTGCCAGCCAGTGAAAGAGCAAAGGCTGGCACCAAACAGCAGGACAGTGGCACCAGACCCACCCAGCTGCTCCCTGTTCCCTGCCTCATCCCTCACTGGCCTGGCAGAAGAGCCAGGAACTCCCCTGGTTCTGTCACTGGTGCTGGGATCAAGTTCTTTACTGCCCTTGGCTGGAAGGTTTCCCTGCGGGGAGCAGCTCAGCTCCATGAGAACAGGCTGCTGGTGTGTGGTCCTGGAGGATCTTCATGTTCAGGAAGCTTCTCTCTCTTCCAAGGGGTTTTACCCTGGGAGACAGACAGAGCCACAGCCAGCATGGCTGGTTCAGAGGCTTAACTGGCAATTCCTTAATGACCATCGAGGAAAACAAAGCTAAGTTTAGTGCTTTAGATGTGAGCAGGGAGGGCTAATCAGGGCAGGGGAATCCAATTGTGGTTAAAGGACCCATTTGCATTCTTTTCGAGATTTGCCACTGATACCCAGTTCCCAAAAATGCTGAACTGGGTCATGGGATGCCTGTAAGGAATGGGCTGCAGATGCCCTGAGGACAGAATTAGTTTTAGGAGGAAGATCAAATGATTGCCAGCTTTGACCTGAGGACAGTAGTTTCAGGAGGGCTGGCAGAGGTGCCCATCTCACCTTTCTGGATTAACCAGCAGCACTAGGAAACCTCAAAGATCAAAGCCACCCTTGCTGATGGATGCAGGGCTCCCACCCACCTCCAGCAGAAGTTAAACACCACAACCAGTGGCCACCACTGGGTCAGTAACTGCTTGAAAAGAGATGTTTTAGGAAAGGAGGTTTTAACTAAAACAGCTTCTCAGTAGTTCTCAATCTTTCCACGAGGACAGAGCTCTTGGTTTCACCTGGAAGCTGTGACTTGCAGAGCAAGCAGCTCAGCACATTTCCATCCGGAATTTTCAGCAGAACCAGCTTCAGAAACTGAAATCCTTCCCAGCCATGCACAGCTCAGGGTAGTCATGACCACACTTAAAGCCTTGTTAGTCTTGAGAAATACTAATGCAGCTTGCCAGAGCTCCCTCTGGGAGCTGGCAGAGCCCTGCAGGGACAAGGTGCTCCTGAGCAAGAGCTCTCTTGTCACACTCACTTCTCGTGCCTCCACCAAAGGATGACGAGAAACAACCCGGGCAGGGCTGGCAGCGCTGTCACAGGAAGGGAATGCCCGGCTGGTCCCCTGCCCCACCTGGCCCCAGGCTGTCCCCCTGCCCTGCAGGATCCATCTTGTCCCCACCGTCCCCAAACACCACGCTGGGCCGGGCAGGTGAAGGTGACTGGTGGGTGTCACCTCCTGTGGATCCTCCAGCCAGGATCCTCAGCAGACAAGAAGCAGAAAGGAGATTTGAAATCCCAAACTGCTCAATGACAGGTCAGAGATCCATGGAATTACCAAGGAGCCATCTCAAAGCTGGGAAGGAGCCTTTAGAGAAGGGTTTGAATCCCACCATGGATTGGGTTGGAAGGGACCTTAAAGATTACCTGGTTCCAACCCCCAAGCCTCTCAGCTTCCATCTCCTGCACTCCAGAGGGCTGGAAAGGTCCCACGGCACAGCCAGCTCCCACAGGAGGGACCCCCAGCCAGGGGAGTCACCCCAAGCCCCCGGACAAGCCACAGACCCCCCCAGCTCCCACACCTTGCCCAGCCCAGCCTTACCTGCCTTCTCCGCGGCCGGCACTGGTGAGACTGGGAGTGCGGGGCGGCGCCCCAGTTAAATACCCCGCGGGGTGATTGGCAGTGGGGCGGGGCTGCAGGTGAGGGGCTGGGGGCTGCAGGTGAGGGGCTGGGGGCTGCAGGTGAGGGGCTGCAGGTGAGGGGCTGCAGGTGAGGAGTGGGGGCCCCTCGGGGCCATTGCAGGTGCTCAGAGCTGCTCTTTGTCCTCCCAGGAGACACGGATCCATCCAGGGTGTCCATCCCCCGGTGCTTTGGCCTGGGGGTGATGGAACAGTGGAACACCCTGGGCTGGGAGGGACCCTCAGGGGTTATTGGTGGTCCAGCCCCTGGCCCTGCACAGACACCCCAACAGTCCCCCCATGCCTGGGAGCTGTTCCTGCAAAGAGCTGCTCATGGACATCAGGCACTGGAGCTGCTTGGGAGCAGGGTGCTGGGACAGGAGCTGAGCCCCCGTTTGTCCCCCAGCCCTTGGGCTGCTCCTTGCAGATGTTGTCAGCAAGTCCCAGGGAAGCGTTTGTGGTGTGACCCATCGTCATCATCCTGATGTTCTCTTGGCAAAGCTCCCCTGACTGGGGAGTCTGATGGGCTCTCCCACCCCAGCCCGTGCCTGGCCCCAGCAGACACCTGATGATGAAACCTTCTGCCTCTCTGCTGGGATTTTCAGGGGAGGAGTTGGTTTGTGTTTTCATCCTTGCAGAGGGCCCAGCAGTGCAGGACTTCAGGGAGCTCAGAGCTTTTTAACAGCTGTAACAAATACTGAAAACTCCAGTTAATTCTTTTCCATTTGTGCCTTTTCATCTTCAGCTCTCAAAAACTGGTTTGAAAACATCAATTAAGCTTCCTGTTGTCTGTTTCCAAGATCAGCGGGGGAGGAAACTGAGGCACAGGTAAAAATTATCTGAAGTCTTCTAACGCTATTACAATGACTGAGTCATCTTGTTTTGGGCCACTGGATGCAGGAGACCTTGGCTCTGTTTCTGTGTTGCCATTCAGGTTGGGGGGGTGCCAATAGTTTTTGAAAAATGTGCTGTTAAGCTGACAAAAATGTAAACAATTGTCATTCCTCAGCTCTGGGGTTGGAAGGAATCCTCATCCTGAGGCTGACTTAGCTGGGAGTGTTGGCTGGAAAAGCCTCTGGAGAGCTGGGGTCTGGCTGAGTCTGGAAACCTCCCAGGGATGGAGACCTCACTCAGCCTCTCTGGCTGTTGGACCCATTGGTGTATGTTAATGCATATTGCATTAATGGAGAAGCAGCTCCCA